ATTCCCCAGCCAGCATGGCTGGCTGGGGAATTCTGGGAGTTGAAGTCCACCCATCTTAAAGTGGCCGAGGTTGAGAAACACTGTTCTAGATCACCTGAAAAACAGAATTCCAGGGAGGCCTAGCCAGCATGGCCAAAATAAAGGGGTAATCACAACTAAAATCACAACTGGAATAAAACGACATGCTGTGTATTGCCATCCAACATCTGCAAGGCACCTAATATCCTACTTCTAGCCCAGCCTCATCCATCCCGATTTCCAGATGTGTGGACTTCACCTCCCAGAATTCTCAGCGCTGGCCTTGCAGGCTATGGAATTCTGGGTGTTGAAAGCCACATATTTGGAACCCGCCCAGACTGGAGAAAGACGCTATAGTCAGAACCCAGGAATGGGGAATTTGCGCACCTTCCAGTATTGTTGAGCTATAAAAAGCAACCAGCGTCTTCCACGCTGACTCTGCTGGTTAGGAGCGAGCATCGTAGGTATCTGGTACAAGCCGTGATGACATCACACGCATGACGTCATTGCCCAAATGGTGCCGTGACACCCTTGACGTCACTCGTCTTCTCCCATCTGCAGACGACCACGTCAAGAGTATCTAAGGACGTTTCGAGATTCTTTTGGGTCATTTCTCAGGTGTGATTTATGTTGGCTTCCACATCCCAAATAACTGAAATCTGGTGCAAAGGTAATTACCATGTGGTGCAATGCTGGACGTGCTGGACTAGGAGAAATCCAGATTTGAGGGGGCTCCCAGCCACAGTAGCTTCTTGGGTGACTGGGGCATTGCCCCGCTTTCAGCTAGCCGACCTCACTGGGTTGTTGTGGGAAAAATAAGTGGAAGGAGTACTAGAGTACGTACATTGCACAGGGCTCCTGAAGGAAATGTGAGATATAAATCTAAGAACTTAAAAGAAGCTGTGTGGTGTCCCCAGTACAAGGGAGAAGCAAGTTCTAGCCCTTCCCTAGTCCTGGTTGACTATGGGCTAGTCATTCAACCCAACCTACCTCACAGGGGTGTAGTGGGGAAAAGTGGGAGGAGGGAGGGAGAGAGAGACAGAAGGAAAGGCAGGAGAGAAACCAAGCAGCTAAAAGACTCCTCGTGCCAAGGATTGCTGCCATCAGAGGAGGCTTGTTTTAGGCAATGTCATCGACAGAACTGGTCTGATACGAATTCCCATCAGAAGACAGGGGTTCTAACAACAACAAAACTCTCAGTCCAGGCATTTATGCCATCCTGTGATTAGCCCCATCATATCCTGATATAATATGGAGGAAGGCAGGGCATTTTTAGAAAGCAGCTGGATCAGGTCTTTTTAGCTGATACCCAGCCCTGCAATGCATCGACATCAATGGAGAGATTGCAGTGAGACCAAGGGGGAAATATCTGCCTTACAGCATATTTTCAGCTGCATTGTGTTGCACGACACTTCCCTGTACCGTATCTACTGGAGATGACCCAGGCCTTCCTCGGAAGCAGGGACCCAATCCATTCCAGGAGACTATCTGGCAAACCGGGGCTCAGTAAAACTCAGTCTGGGTTAACAGAAGACAATCGTTCTATTCACAGAATATGTTCTGCCTAAATCAGGAAACCATATAATGCCTTGACATGCTAAAAGAATGCCTTGGTTCACACAACACAGTAAATTGCAAAGAGCTGATTCCATTTTAGCCTCCTCTGGGACCGCTTTAATCTATTTAGACAGCAAAACCAGAGGCATCCTCAGGTGGGGTCAAAATGGCAGCCAGGAGCCGGGGCTTTGATGACTTAGTCCCTGCGGCTATCTTGACTTTTTTGACCCTCCCATTGGACCAACCTTGAACAGCGTTTCCCAACTTTTGCAACTTTAAGATCTTTGGACTTCATTACCGAATTCCCCAGCCAGCTCCGGAGAAGAGGATGACCAGCCGCAAAGTGGAAGGACTTCATTACAGTGGCAATGGGGGTACCCTTGGAAGACCTGAAGGACTAGGTTAGGGCTAGATTGCCATGGGGAAGGTCTATCCATGTGGAGGCTAAGGGTCCACAATGACTTGATGGCACAATCAAGGCAATCAAGAAGTAATGGTATATGGGAATGACCTTGGGTGATGGGGGGAAGAGATGCTGCCTAGGGAACAGTCAGATAAGAGAGGGCATAGCCCACAGCTGCATAACGGGAAGAGAAAAAGACTCAGAAAGGAACCTCTAACTTTTGGGGCTGTAAAAGAGACAGCGGGAGATTTGTACTTTCGGACTTGCAAGATTCTGTTAAGGTAGCCTTACAATAAAGTAGAATTAGCTCATCTGGTTGTGTTTCCTGTCTGGTCTACCTGGGAAGGCTGACACAAAGAGAGTAGCCCCACTATCCACCCCATACCATTGGTGGCTTATTTTTGTCTTTATCCAGAATCTACTTTCCTGGAATTTCCACCCCTTGACCAGCTTCTCCAATCTGGTACCATCTAGATCAGTGTTTCTCAAACTTGGCAGCTTCAAGACGTGTGGACTTCAACTCCCAGAATTCCCCTGCTGGGG